TATATGTATGTGAGTGTGGGTGTATCTATATATGTATGTAACTAGCATACTACACAATAAATTTGTGCTTACAAAATGTTTTTTTTTTTTTTCATTTGGTATTTTTTTTTTGGTATAATTGTTGTTGATTTTTTTTTTTTTTTGTATCGGTAATTTCTGCTTATTTATCGAGAAAAGGCTTTTTTTTTTGTTTGCGAATGCGTGCGAAATGCTTAATTCTTTCTTGTTCTTTTTTTTTTTGTTTTTGTTTTAATTTATTTAATTTTTCTTTAAATATATATTTTTTTTTTTAGCTTTAGTTTGATCGGATTCGTCACTTGATTTGTCAAACTATTTTTTTTTGTCTTCTTGGTGGGCGGGGGGCTTTGCTTTGCTTTTCTTTTGTTGTTTCTCTTTTTATTGCACACACACACACACACTGACACACATAATATCGGAGTACATTTTGCTATATATACATATATTGCAATATATATATGTATATGTATATGTAAGATTATCGTTCGATTCCACTGATGCTTCCAATGCGCTCGCCAGCTCGCTCTAACAAATGCGTTCTTCTTCTCTCTCTATCGTTCTCGTTTTTGGTTGCCTCTCTCTCTCTCTCTCTCTCTCTCTCTCTTTCTCCTTCTCTTTGTCCTTCTCGTTCCGTCATTTCCAGTTGCAATTCCTTTTGGGGTTACGTTGTCATTGCCATTTGCTGCACATCCCATTCGATTAGGTTTCACGCCTTGGCTCCGGGTATCTTGGACAGCACCTTGGAGAGATCCACCCCGGTCAGCGCATTGATCGAGGGCGGCAGCTGGGCCACCAGGCGTGTCACATCGTTGGTTAGATTGTCGTTGCCTCCGATCAGGACGATCTCATCCGTCTTGGCCAATGGGGCCGCCACCTCTGCAGCGATCTGTAATCAAATGCAAATGTATTCATCTGTCTCTCTCCTACGCGCTCTCTCTTTCTCTGTCTCTTACCTTGGGCAGTGACTCGAGCACAATGTTCATGATGGCAGCATCGCCGTACTGCTTATAGACATTCGCCTTTATTCGCATGCGCTCCGCCTCCGCCTTGCCCACCAGCTCGATGGCGTGAGCTTCCGCCGCGCCGATCTTCCGGATGCGCTCCGCCTCGGCTCTGGCGCTCTCAATGGTCTGACATCTGTTTTGGGGAGAGAGGAGAATAGAAATGGAGTTAGCCAGCTGAACTTTTTCTCAATATTACTCATACGAAATGTTGTGCGGAGCACAATTTGCATTTAGGAATCGCGCTTACACTACATAAAACTATTTATATCTATAGAGTTGGTCAGGGCTAAGGCTAACCCCAAGGATTTGCGCATTATATAAATATGGAGAGCATGGGCATATGGATAAAGTTGGAATACTGAGTATGAGGGCAAGTGATCTCAGCTTTATATAAATATAATTATATATATACATATTACGTATACGTTTCGTTGTACGAGGCAAAATGAAATCAGTAGGCAATCAAGAATCTATTTTTAGTTTGAACTGAGCTCGAATATCGAACCCGATGCATATTTGACTTTTATATTTATAATATTATTGTTCCAAGCCAAGTTGAGCAGGAACTTGAAGGTTTCTTAGGGGATCTCAGCTAGTCATCGTTTGCTTCACTTACTGTTTGCCCTGGGCGATTGTCTGCACGCGATAGGCCTCGGCCTCGGCGGGCAGCTTGACGGTGCCGATGAGCTCACGGTCTTTGCGCTGCACTTCCTGCGACTCGATCTCGATCTGCTTGCGGCGCTCGACAACGTCGATCTGGATCTCCTCGTTGCGGATGCGCTGGCGTATCTTGGCCGCCTGCAGCTCGTAGGCCAGCTGCGACTCGGCCTTGGCCGTGTTGATCTCCTGATCGAAGTTGGCCTTCTGCAGCTTGTACATGCGCGTATTGTCCTCGATCTTCGTGTCCGTCGAGTACTTCACATCCATGGCGCTCTTCTCGCACTCGGCCTCCCGGATGCCAGCGTCACGATTGGCCTCCGCCACGCCCGCATCCGCGTCACGCTTCACCACCGCCGTCTGCGCCTTGCCCAGCGAGGCCAAGTACTGCACATCATCGTAGACATCCTTGATGGTAAAGGACAGAATCTCGATGCCCATGCGGCCGACATCCGGTGCGGCTACCTCGCGCACAAGCGCAGCGAACTGGTCGCGATCTTTGTAGACTTCTTCGACTGTAAGCGTTCCTGTGGTTGGACAGAGAGAGAGGGAGTGAAAGCATGAGAGAGTGAGAGCGTTAGATATTCTATAATCGATGCTAAGCATAGCTAATGCTTTCTTACCGTTTCACCACCAACCAGGTGGTGCCCACTATCATGACCACCTTAAAGGCCCCAATCCACACCATCGACATGACTCGCTGTTGTCTGTTGGCTCTTCAAAGCCCAACTAAGTTAGCACTGACAGCCGCGAGCACCGTTCTTAGTGGTTTATACCTAGCCTAGGCAGTCTACTAGTTGTTTCCTTTTAATCAAGACATTTGTATTACCCTTGACGTCATTGGCGCAGTCTTATCGACTGGCGCTTGCCCCTTATCAGCGCACGTCACTGTGCTGCGAACGGCAAAAGCTCGCTGTCAGAGCTTAAAGCTCTTCAAGCTTACAACAATTGGAATTCGCAGAGCTTTGAATTGCTTTTAGCACTTTTTGATTTATGTTCACCTCGAATTCAGCACGAACCACTAAAATAGGAAATGTTTTCTGTGATTTGTCTGAGAAGTATTTAACGAGTTTATTTTTTATATATTTTTCAAATAATTAAATAACAAAATTGCAAAAAGAAACATTCTCTATTTGTTTATCTTTCGTTTTGCAGCAGGCAGGCAACTCTGTTTTCCAAAATATCTTAAATTTTCGATGTTTTTGCTTATCCTTAAGTTCTGAAGGTATATCAGACAAATGTTTTCTTTATTTCCAGCAGAGCTGGACGTAAAACAAATATTGGTAATTCGCTTAGGAAAAACTAGCCCTAGTTTTCCAATATTTTTCTTCCGTGCTCTGGGCTAAGACTCTTAAAGGATTTCGGAATATCTGAAGCAGTTTCTAGGTATTTGACTGTTCCCCTTGAGCCACAGGCAAGGTTAGTTACAATTGTCGTTCTTCTAACCCCTAAACCAATTCAAGGTCAAGATCGAGGAGGGCTTCGCCCATTTGTCCGGCGTAAACAAGCACACACAGCAAACAGCTGAGCAATTCACACGCGATTTAATAAAGTGAAAGAAAAATAGAAAATAGAGCTCGGTACGTTTGGGGGCGGGTTCGCTGTGGACAGTATAATTGAGAACCGCTCGGAAACGTTGCGACCGGAGCGTCGCTCGGCGCGCTTACAACTGACACAACAAGCACGAGAGAGAGAGAGCCTGTCCGTTCCAAGACAACGCCAACGACAAACGACGAACTAAATATTCAATTTGAGCGCGTTGCACAATTGGAAATCGCCTTGAGAATGAGATATACGGTTTATGCTTTAAGTATGGCAATTATAGTGATTCTAGCGCCAAAGGCCCTCACACGACACTCTTCAAAGTCTTTCGACCATAATAACGCGGGCTCTATTCCAAGCACACGCACTGAGCTCAGTTCAACGCACTCGTAAAGCTTCTCAAGTCTAGTTTGATTGAAGCAGTCAATTAGACAGCAAGGCCGCGTCAAAAACTCGATTAGAATATGACGTAGCTGATGACTAGCGACAGAGTTAACTATTCAAGGGTTCTAGTCGAGCACTTGAATAGCTCCAAGTATCATAGAGCTCTAGTTCTCACTTTACTTGTAGTTTAATACACATAAGAGTGCTCTAGTCGAGACTGCTCGACTAGGACATCCCCTGAACGCTGTCAAGCATAAGTGTCTAGTTTCCGTTTATACCCTGAACACATTGAAAATAGGAAATCAGGGTATAATGCTTTTCTGAAAAGTATGTAACAGGCAAAAGGAGCCATCGCAGACCCCATGAAGTATATATATTCATATATATATATTAGGGCGACAAGCTGAGTCAAGTTGACCCTGTCCGTCCGTCCGTCCGTATGAGCAAGCCGATTTTAGAAGATATAAGAGCTAGAGAGCTGAAATATTCCATGCATACTCGTGTATACCATACGCAGAACAATTTTATCTTTTTTTTCGATAAATCATCCGATTTATTTTATCGAGAATAATCGGTAAATTTAAATCGTTTTTTCAGCCTAAAAGAAGTGTAGAATATCAGCTTGGAGGGTTCAGAATATCTCTTAGTAGAACAGTCTCGACTGGAGCCTTATTACTTGTTGTAATACGATTTGTATTATTGTATTGTATGTATTGTCTAAAAATCACAAAATCTTTGAATTCATTACATGGATCTATGCAGTAAATCTGAAGTCCCCAACTCCAAGGGTATTAAAATTGCCTTTAAAAAACAAAGTCAAACTATCGATTATTATCGATAATACAGCAGTGAAAATAAATGATCGAAAAATTCAAACTCATACTTTCTGTGGTATAAGTATATATGTAAAGATGGCCAGACGGACATGGCTTGTCCTGATCAAAACTTTATATGGGTTTATAGACATTATATATGTATATATAATACATCTGCCACGCCTCCGTCTTTTTTAAATTTTCACATTCCATTTAAAATGATCTCCGAGTATAAATAGCTTCTTCATCTTTATGGCATGACTTATGATGTGAAGCAACTGAATCGAGATTCACGCTTTTAGTTCTTTAGCCTGGTTTGTCACTTCCACAGTGAGTGATCCAGTTAGAGTGACTCAGACTCATGACATTACATGCATGATAAGCCGAATTTACAATTCTATTTTTACTCTCAGAGTGAAAATATTTCATTGTCTGTCCGGAATGAACGTAAAGCTTTACTCCGTTACTTTAGCTGGTGACTTGAAATTCTTGAAATTCTGATAATCAGAATGTATTTTCGCTTATACAACTTTCGGTAATATCCGAGTGCTTAAGCTTTATCAAGTTACCGGCAGGGTTAGTGCCAATTAGTGGGGACTCACATTGTTTTTGATTACAAAAATTGCAAATATTTTGACAGTCTGGCAGCACTAATATTGGTTAAGTAGCATGGGGAGAATCAGGAGGAATTTGACGTATAGCAAAGGCGAAACAAAAGTAAATACCTATAGAAATCGAATGTACCCATATGAATATATAACTATATGATCTTTTCTTACCTAATATGGCGCGCAGATGTCCTTCCAGGGTTTGCAGAATGGTCTGCTTGATCTCCTTGACGCTCTTGCCCAGGAATTGTTCGCTGGCCGTGCCTAGCAGCTCGTCGGCCTGATGATGAAAATAATAAACATTCATCATCTGTGTGTGTGTGTATGTGTGTGTGTGTGTGGGTGTGTGTATAGAGAGTGTGTGTGTGTGGGTGTTTGAGTGTTTGGGTATGCGAATAGTTGATTAAATGAATTGATGATCGTGTTATTAATTGATTCATATTTGTTGTTTGACACGGCACACACAGAGATCAATAGGGAGAGAGAGTGAGAGGGAAGGAGATAGATAGATAGATGTAGGGACAGAGTGGGACGGACAATCCAAAGCCACAGCCAAATAATTGAGTGGTTATTTAATGTTAATTAATGTTGGCGATAATTTTTGATTAGTTTTTGATTAGTTTTGTTTAAAGTAATTACGATTCATTTATACCCAAACACACACACGCACACAGATTCGCACACACACACACACACACGCACACATGAAAACGTAACAGTAACCGTAACATGAACAGTAACATTAGCAGTAACAGTAACAGTAACGGTAACATGAACATTAGCAGACGTTTAGCAGTAGGCGTAATTCAGATGATGTTTTTGTTTTTGTTTTTTTGGTTTATTAATAATATTATATATTAGTTGTTGTAGTTGTTGTTGTTGTTTTCAAGCGATTTGTTAATTTTGATTTGTTATCATTTACAGTTGTTTTTGTATTTTTTTTTTTTTTTTGTCGGATTCGTTTGATGAGTTGAGTTGATTGGAGTCGAGTTGAGTTCAGTTGATTCGAACGATTCGAGCGCAGGGTAAGTGGTTGGTAAAAGAAAGTAGAGAAGAGGTAAAAAACACAAATGTCAACAAATTTCGACTGTTTATGTAGACTGTAGGCTCAATTGAATAAAGCTACAGAGCATAGCGCTCTTTTTCTCGAATACTATTAAATGAATGAGTGCTACGCTTACTGTATATATGTATGTATATGTACGTTAGGTAAGTGTCAATGTGATACAAATCATAAGATCTAAACGACAAAGGCATGCAGCAAATGATATGGCATCAATAAACAGGGAACTCGACTCAAGATCTGAATCGTGCGTGAGTGCGTGTGTGTGTGTGAGTGTGAGTTGCATCGCATTAAGTCAAGATCAACGAAACGAAAACCGAAATGAAAATTGTTAAGGAGGAAATGATGTTAGCGCAATAAACATACCTCGTTGTTAGCATAATCATTATTTTTATACGAAGATGACTGTAATAATGAAATGAAAATAATCAAGTAAGAACATAATTTTGAATCATTGGGTAGCCAAATAAACAATGCGAATTAAATCATGGCGAGTAAGGAAACAAAATTAAGATTAACAAAATTTCGATAACGAGCGAGTGAGCGAGTGTTTACGATTCTAATTTGAATAATCGACTACTGTGAATGTGTGATTCATTGAAAGGTCCTTTGAACTGTGATCCATTAAATTACTAGCTCTATTAGGTATTCCAAATATATTTTATTTACAGATATTTACAAATATCGTTGAATTCTACGTGTGAATTCCGACTACTGTGAATGAGTTAATATATCTGTGCCGAGCGCTGTGAATATTTAGTTTATGAATAAATGTTTGCCTACAATAATTTTAATCATATTGCCTGTGAATGATCATGAACTTTGATTGGTGCATCTATAATTGAATTGATTCTATAATACAAAGTATGGCTACGGTAAATACGTTCTTATATACAAATGTATGAAAAACACTGTGAAGTATGACTCGAATATAATATTTTCCAATTTGTGCACTGCATAAATGATTCGATTCGTATCTGCCTGAATCATTTATGACTGTTATTCAAGTCTGCTAAACTGTATTTGAGTATAATTCATTTATGATTCAAATAGTGATTCATTGAGTGTTTTGAATCACAGTTACTGTTATTTTCAATGCATTCATTTTGTTAACGCTTGTAAGCGACTGTGCGAAAAGTGCTTTGAGTCACTGTTACTGTGAACTCGGGGTCGCTGTGAGTGAGCAGTACGGTGCCAAGTCACAGCAATGATGCAATTGCAGTACTCAATATATGTATATAGGCTTATACGAAACTAAAGCGATTTTCACAAGTTTACAATACGTTCTACACTTACTTTTGCTGGATCAGTTCTAAGGCGCTTGCAAGGCTAAATATTGTAATTGAATCGATTGGGAATTGTTTTTGTGGTAAGGATAGGGAGTGGAGTGGGAATCGAAAGAATTCAAACATACATAAACAAAACAAAATGCTAAATCGGATTAAAATATACGATAATTTTATGAATATATATAATTATATACTGTTTCTTTGGGTAGATATGATGCTATAGGGTATAGTAAGCCAAATTTCAGACGCGTTTCTACGTAGCTACGAAAAATGCATGCTAAATACAAAAGATTATATAAGGTTATATCTATATATATGTAAGTATATCTGTAGAATTGAGAGAAGCTAAATAACTTGCATAACAAAACTGAAAAAAAAAAACTGCAATTACTTGCTCCCCACTGGGAGAGCTGCTAACGTAGCCGATGAAAGTGGCTAAAAGGAAAAGACGAAAGAGAGAGAGAGAGAGAGAGAGCGGGAAGTGCGGATCGCCCGCTCGCCCACATACCTTCATGATCTTGCACTGCGCCACGCCAGTCACCGTCAGCGGTACGCCCTGAGCGGTCTCCACGTTCTCGCACATCGGATTCAGCGTCATCACGTTCAGCGAGAGCCGCTGCACGTCCGTCACCAGCCACCAGGCCCAGGCCCAGCCGCCGACAATTGTTCGCTTCTTCGTCGAGCCGCAGCAGCCACCTAAAAGAGCGAGAGAGAGAGAGAGAAAGAGAGAAAGGGTGAGCAGGAATAATTAAATATTCAATAGAGCTGACAACTTAGCGGATTTAAGGCTACTTTTTTGCAAACATTGAGTTTATGGACATACAGAGAATGTCAAAATCCTTGTATAATATAACCAAATTGTAAAATTAATATTATATATAAAGAGTAGATAATCTTTTGAAATTTAGCTAAAAAAAAAAAAAAAAAAAAAAAACGGGAATGAGATTATTTATATATTTTTATAATTATTCATACAATCTTAGAAATGCATACATATATAGTTAAACAAATTTACATTTTTAATTTTTGAAATTTGAAAATACTATAAATCTGAATGTTAATAGTAGTAAAATTTTAAGCTTTGTTATTTTCTTAGTAGTTGTCGAAGCCTACATTTACAGGGTATATGGGCCAGTCGACGTGCATTTTTAGCAAGCCCCGTTAAAGCTAGCCCTTAATCCTAAGCTTGTTACTTGGAGCTTGCCCTGATGACGTCACTGGGGCAGGCCAGGTCTATATTCGAGCTGTTGAGCTGACCCACAAATGCTGTTGGCTGTGGCACACGCACTTTTTTGTTTCTTTTTTGGCTAGGGGCGTAGCATCATAATGGCCAATGGCTTATATAGTAAGAGTGAAAGCATTTCGCAGTCGTTAAAGTGAGTGTGAGTGAGTGTGTGTGTAAGTGAGTGTGTGTGTGAGTGTGTGTGTGTTATGTCTACGTGCCGGCAAACACGTCACATCGTGTCAAAGAGTTGATGGATGAGCATGACTGCAGCCAAGAGTGCCGTCAAGAGCAGCCAAACAGGAAGCACTTGTCCAATTGAGGTGCCAGCTAACGGATCAATTCACCTGCTGCACTCAGCCCCTGCATTGTGGGCCTCCAAAGAGCCATCGCAGCACGCCGAAGGGCATGGTGAAGGCTGCGCAGCTGCAAAGGCGCACACGACTTGAGAGATTGTGTGTGTAAGATAGAGAGAGCCAAAGAGAGAGAGACAGAGAGAGAGAAAGAGAGAGAGTGAGCGAACGAGCAAGCGAGTTGGAGTGGCCATTTCTAGCTTTGTTGGTGTTTGGGCTCCGTTTTAATGGCTCAATGCTTCAGTTGGCCAGTGAACGTCGCAGCGCGCGGCCGTATCAACCGCACAGAAAGAAAGTGTTAAAGAAAGCGCACGTAAGCGTACAAAAAAATAAGAAAAGAGAAGCTTCAGATCGAACGAGCTAGTAAATGCTTCAAAAAAATGCGAGCCAAAAGCAAAGCCAATTGAAACAACAACAAGAACACTAAAAAAAATATCAACTCCTTCCCATAGCGCAAGTGAGTAAGAAAGGGTCACAAAAAAATGTATGCGTGCGTGTGTGTGTGGTCACATAAGTAAACAAAATCACATTGCTAAAGTGTGCCAATGGGCAAAAAGAAATCAACGTCAACAAAAGCAGCGGCAGCAGCAGCAGCAGCAGCGGCAGCAGCAGCGGTAGCGGCAGCGGCAGCGACACAAAAAGGAACACGAACAATCGAAAAATTCTAAGTCGCCGCGTCGACGCATGCGTAGTGATGGCGGCAGCGACGCCTACGCCAGCAGAAGCTTTCTCAACGAAAGTGATTCATCGCGGCTTCGTCGAGTGTTCGCTGTGATAACTGTAACTGTAGCTGTAACTGTTGTGCTCGCCACTCGCGTTGCCTGCGTACGTTGTTATGCATTTCTCTTTAGCGCTATTTGCTCAAATATTTAGCGGCTATTCGCATGGCTGCAAAAGTTGCGCTGCCGCTGCGTAGCTGTTGTTGTTGTTGATGCTGCTGCTGGCGTTGCTGCTGCTGTTGCTGTTTTTTCCGCTAGTACCTTGAACTTGAGCAGCGCTGCGCACATTCAACTCGGCGGCGCAGTGGCAACCTGTTTGCAACAACAACAACAACAACAACAACAAAGCGCAGCAACAAGTTTGTAATTGTCACTACAACAACAGCAGCAGCAAGTGTTGGCGCTGTTAGCCTTAAGTTTAGCTTGAAGCTAGCCAAAGATTATGCAAAGCCAGGAAACGTTTTTGGCGGCAGCATTGTCGCTAGGGCGGCTGGCCACGCCCACAAACAAACTGGTTGAATGCACTCACATGCAATGGAGTGTGTGTGTGTGAGTGTGTTGGGTACTTACAACAATTTCTGACGAGAAAACAATGGGGGAAAAGCAGCGTTTTTTCTCTACCCTTTTTTTTTTCAATTTTATTTGTTTTTTTTGAAAATTTTATAATAGTTGCGAGATTTTTTTCTTCTATGCGGGAGGCCTTTTACCCCCACTCCAAGTGCAATACATTTTTTTATGCAGCATGGCAGCCTTAGCTGAGATGACTATCGTGACTATCGTTTTTTTATATTCTATAAGACTTGATACGACGACAAGGTCATATTGCTAGGCATTCTAAATAACTATCGAGTGAATTAGACTGTTGTCGTTTGAAAAAGCTTTCGAAGCATTCCCGCACGTGCTGTAACGGTAAACGAGCCAGCTGGAAAACTTCTTCATTCTGATTGAAGTACAGCTGAAAGCTCGTTCCAGTGCCATCGCTTAGATCTGATAAGCGAATCGGGCATGTTGGGCAATCGGGTACAGGGTATGCATAACAAATGGCAGTCCCCGATCGCGTTACGAAATTGCCGAAATGCCGCAGATCGTGATCGAAATGTTGAGGCGCGTGAAAAGCCGCCAACTCAAGCAATCGATTCACCTAACCCGATTACATATATTACAAACGTGACTTTTCATCACATATTTACGGATTTATTTCATTTCTTTTCGTTTCCATTGCAGACACGTCGCGGCACGTTGGAAGATCGCTATCGCCTGACTGACTGACAGACTGACTTGCAGATAGCCAACAGGAGGAGCCTTCAGCCATGAGCTCGGCCATTGTGGGCGCTGCCTCGGCCATCGGGGGCGCGGTGACGGCGGCAACCAGCAACAGCTGGTTCATACCCATGCTGATGGCAGCGGTTGCCTACTTCCAGTACGAGGAGATCATGGATCCCGAGTCGAAGCCCAGCGACGTCAGCAGCGATGACATTCTCGATCACTATGACTTCATAGTGATAGGCGCCGGTTCGGCCGGCGCTGTGGTGGCCAATCGCTTGACCGAGGTGGAAAACTGGAATGTCCTGCTTCTGGAGGCGGGCGGCGATGAGACGGAGCTAACGGATGTGCCACTGATGGCCGGATACTTGCAGCTATCGAAAATCGACTGGCAGTACAAGACGGAACCATCAGGAACTTCGTGCTTGGGTAGGTCTATCTAAGCTCTATGCTCAAGAAGTTTTCTTTCTAAGAATTTCGGCCTCTTGTTAAAGAAAAGTCGAAGTTAGAGGGAATGAGAAAGCTTCTAGGGCTTCACATAAATCTATATCTACATACATTTAACCATCTGTATCTACTCCTTTCAGCTATGCAAGGCGGACGCTGCAACTGGCCGAGGGGCAAGGTGTTGGGCGGTAGCTCCGTTCTCAATTACATGCTGTATTTGCGTGGCTCGAAGCACGACTACGATAACTGGGAGGCACTGGGTAACCCCTCCTGGTCGTATCGCGATGCACTTTACTACTTCAAGAAGTCGGAGGATAATACCAATCCGTATCTGGCTAGCACACCCTACCATGCCACTGGGGGCTATCTGACTGTGGGCGAAGCGCCCTACCACACCCCCCTGGCGGCCAGCTTTGTGGAAGCGGGCGTGGAAATGGGCTACGACAATCGCGACTTGAATGGCGAGAAGATGACGGGTTTCATGATTGCCCAGGGCACCACAAGGCGGGGCTCGCGCTGCTCCACCTCCAAGGCGTTCCTCCGTCCGGCACGACTGCGTCCCAATCTGCACATCTCAATGAATTCGCATGTGACGCGCATCATGATCGATCCGGTTAGCAAGTTGGCCTTTGGAGTGGAGTTCGTTAAAGAGCAGAAGCTCTACCATGTTCGTGCCACCAAGGAGGTGGTGCTCTCGGGCGGTTCAGTGAACAGTCCGCAGCTTCTGATGCTAAGCGGCATTGGTCCACGCAAGCAGCTGGCCAAGCATCGCATACCGGTCATCAAGGAGCTTAGCGTCGGCGAGAACCTCCAGGATCACATCGGACTGGGCGGACTCACGTTTCTGGTGAATCAACCGGTGTCGATAGTGGAGAACCGCTTTCACACCATGTCCACGGTGCTGCAGTACGCGGTCTTCGGCCAGGGTCCGCTCACCATTCTCGGCGGCGTCGAGGGCTTGGCCTATGTGAATACGAAGTATGCCAACAGCTCGCTGGACTGGCCGGACATAGAGTTTCACTTCGTTTCTGGTTCAACGAATTCCGATGGCGGATCCCAGCTGAGGAAGGCGCACGGCCTCTCGGACTCGTTTTATCGTGCGGTATTCGAGCCGATCAACAATCGGGATGCCTGGAGCATAATTCCCATGCTGTTGCGTCCTCGCAGCACGGGCAGTATTAAGCTGCGCAGCAGCAATCCCTTCGACTATCCCTATATATTTCCCAACTACTTGAAGGACGAATTCGATCTGAAGACCCTCATCGAGGGTGTCAAGGTCGCCGTCGCTCTTTCCCGCACCAAGGCGATGCAGCGCTTCGGCTCCCGTCTCTCCAGCATACACTGGCCGGGCTGCGAGCATCTCGTCCCATTCACGGACAGCTACTGGGAGTGCATGGTGCGTCGCTACACATCGACCATTTACCATCCGGTGGGCACCTGCAAAATGGGTCCCTACTGGGACAAGGATGCAGTGGTCGACGCCAAGCTAAGGGTCTACGGCATTCGCGGCCTGCGCGTCATCGATGCCAGCATCATGCCCAAGCTCGTCTCGGCCAACACGAATGCGCCCGTGATCATGATCGCCGAGAAGGGCAGCGATATGATAAAAGAGTTCTGGATCAAGAATACAATAGTCTGATAAGCGAATAACTTTCTACTATGGCTCTGTATATGAGTGTGTGTGTGTGTGTG